GATGGCCTCCACCCTAGTAGCGATGGCCTCCACGCTAGTAGCGATGGTCTCCATCCTGCTCCAACCTAAGAGCGATGCCCTCCAGTCCCACCTATGAAGACCAAGCCTGGGATGTCACACTGGAAGCGTTCTTGCGCTCAAGGTTCCAAAGCCGGAAAGGAACATTTTTACATGTCCCCTACAAGCAGGATCACGCTCGTTGGGACGGTGAACCATGAACCTTGGACCATACCCAAAGCAATCACCCAGATTTGTGCATTTGAAATTTGACAGGTTGCTCGGGTCATTTTTCGGAGGTAGAGCACGCTTTCATTTCCGGCTGGTCGGCCGAGGCCTAGGTGTGTGAGAGGGCCTGAGTAATGGAGCCAAGCCATACAGCGAGGTAAGATTTTAAGCTCTCAAGTTCCAAAAGTTTGCGGCAAACTCTGAACGTGAAGTGGGTGCACATTTTTCGACCTACTTCCACCTGCAACAGCCTGGTTCAACTGGAGAGAAGGTTTACAAATGTACAAGAATCACACAAGAAGCAAGCCAATCCTCTCCAGTCAAGGGGGTACCTTCAACGCTCAAAAGTGAAGATGTGAAACCGACTTGCATGGTGATTGCCAGACTGCGCCTGACCTGAGGCGAAAATGCCGTCTGGCCTCCACTGCACTTATCCGAGTTGATGCAGAAGCGCCGCCGGGACCTGACAGAGCAAGGGTACGAAGTTGGATGACAACATGCTGTTTCTTCACCGAACTGAGAGACAGCCATGGCCACCAGCCACACCACCGTTAGACCCTTTTTGGCGCGACCGTTTCGGCCCGGAGGAGCGGTCCGAGTGGAGGCGAAAACGAGGCGAACCGAGGCGAACCGAGAGTCGCTGCTTTTCGAGCCCGGTGCCAGCGATGCCAGCGATGGCGGTCAAGTTCGTCCTCTATTTGTATCACAGGGCTCAAGATGCTTGGTCAAGCCACGCGAGGCCTTGAAGAAAAGAGGCGAGTCCAGGGAGAGTTGAATTAGTGAATTCTAGGGGAATGAGGAACCTAAAGCTACTAGTTACTAGCGATGGCCTCCACCCTAGCAGCGATGGCCTCCAACTGAATCTGAAGAGTTCTTGCAATGCGTTCCGTGTTTTGAGGTTGCTTTCCGCTGTAGGTCCTGACAATCGTGGTGCCTCCGCGGACGTCTTGCCCAAGGAAACCTGTACGACACCGTTTGTATGACACCGTCATGCCGCCATGCCACACCATTTCTTTAGGAAGCGTCACCTCCGAAGCATCTTAAAACATCTTAAAACTGTGCTAGCCATTCACTCCGGGTTGCCTTGTGGCGAGCCATGGGAAGTGGAAGTTCTGTAAATGACAAAGAGGGCGAGAACACTCCGGTCTCTGTGGGGAAGCAGCTTTGCAGTTCGGCCATTAAAGGCGGGAAAGTCTTCAGATCCGCTACTAGGAACAAGTGCCTTACTAGTAGTAACAAGAAGCTATTGGAAACAGGTGCCACGCTACTTATTGATGAAGGCCATCGCTACTAGGTTGGAGGCCATCACTACAATGGTGGAGGCCATTGCTAGGTGTCCTGAGACCATTGCCTCGGAAGCCGGTGAGGTGCACACACTCGAGCGGAGGAAGAACAGGCATTGCGAGAAGCATTTATGACCTTCGATCGAGACGCTTGGGGCACAAGATCGGCTTGGCCCGGTGCAGCCCATTTGATTGCCCACTTTCCGGTCTTCCAAGGACGGGAACGGAGAAATCAGCAAGACCGAGCCTCTTGGCCTTCATTTCGTGGGCAGGTGGAGGCCATCGCTACTAGGAAGAGTCGAAGCTACTAGCAAGAAAGGGCATCGCTACGAACGGAGCGATCGGACGCAACCGAACGGGGCGCTCCTGGCCTTAATACGTTCGTAACGCTAGCAACAAGAAGCTACTAGTCCCAAGGCTCAACTCAAGTCGCCAAGAATGACCAAAGCTTGGACAGTTTGACCGACTGACGAGGTTCACGAAGGTGATGACGCATCTGACCCAGTTCAACAAGAAGTTTCTCGGCGGTGAGGAGGTGAAGAGATGAAAAGCAGCAACTCATGCCACACGTCTCCTGAATCAGGTTTAGTGAGCAGCAACTCGAAACCTTGTTTGATGCAGCTGACACAGACAAGGCCGGATCTCAATTTGCAAGAAGTTGCGAGTTGAACTGTGCTCAAGCCACTCCAAACATACAAGTAAATTTGCACAATTCAGGTGTTGCGTTTGACTTGGTGTATTTACGGAAAGCTGTCAGGATGGTGCAATTCAATACGAGGAACTCTGCAGCTGGCTTTGCGACACTCCATGCTTCTCGAGGTGTCCTGCAGCATTGTACAGGACTTTGGAGGCCTTGGAGGCCATCGCTCTTTGTTTCCAGCTCAGGTATTTCCAAGAACTGGACAAGATCGAGAAGGAGTACCATCGGAGGCTCCATACTACAACGAAGGGAGATGCCTCAGTCATGAGAGAGGAGGATTCTTCTGAGTGGATGGCGAGTCTCGTCAGAGTTTTGGTAGAGTGGAACAGTTCTGTAAGTCTATAAGTGCATTGAAGAAGTAGGAAATCTATGAGGCATTGCGACCAAGCCATAACAAGCTGTAACTGCTTGCACGACCGCTTTCAAGTCTTGCTAGGATCCTTTGTTTGTTGCTCTGTATTAGGAAGCAGTTTGACAAGCGCTTGCGGCCAATCGTGAAGCCTGGCTTTTTGTGGCACTGAGAGAGCTTGTGATTCAGAGCTTTCGTTCTTTGTTAGAGTTCACCTTGCTCGCCCGTGTGATTAATTATGCCTTTAAGTAGTGCGTGTGCATCACTTCTGTTGAGTTTGGAGGACGAATTGGAGCTGACATTCAGTCATTGGTTTGATCCAGAATGGGGTACCAAAGCACCTGTCAGGGAAGTGTTCAACTCCGCGGACAAGGACAAGAATGGTGTATTGACAGAAGAAGAGAGCATTCTACTGTTCAAGCTGCTTGGTTTGCAATGTGGGTGGCCATTGGCTTGCTGTTTGTGCCAACCAAAAAGAAACATGTCTTCCAGGAACTATGCAGAAAAGCTTATCAGCTACGCGATGAGCATCATGCAGGCGCGTCCGACCGCGTCCGGACTCGGAGCGATGGCCCGAGATGCTCCGTTCGTCACGTCCTTGTTCCGTTCGATGTGTCTGAAAGCCGGCGTTTTCTCGCGCCAGACGGAAAAGAGCCACTGGATTCACGAAAACCATTGGCTAGACAAAAAGTCTCTGAAGCAGCTTGTGCCACTTGGACTGGTCAAGGTTTGGAGACTCCGCAGGGAACACACCGTACGTCATACGTCGGTACATGCCGTAGTACATGCGGCTGAGGCCGTCGATGAAGGCTGTGGCACAAAAACAGCTCCTTTCCTGCAAAGGCCGTCGATGAGGCTGAATTGCACTTGCTACAGCAGCGCAATTGCTTTAGGCATGTTAGACTCAGACTGAAAGTGATGATAACCGATGTTGTTGCGGGGTGATGGTGATGGGGTTCAATGTGTCTCAGCGACTTTCTATCGGAACATGTTGCGGTTGTCGAGTTGACAAGGTTGGCAAGCTACGAATCGCACGTGGACGACCGGAATGAAGAAGCGTTTAAGGCACCGATATGGTCAGCAGGACCTACTTGCTAAGAGAAAACATCCATATATGTGCCTTATGTGGGCACTTGAGCTCACGACCGGTGCGAAGGTCATGGACCGGAATCACGACGGCAAATTAGTTTTCGAAGAGGCACAAAATCAGTGAGTGGCCGTGATCAGTGCATCTCAGGACAAAATTAGCAACAAAACCAACAGCTTTGCAGTGCAGAAACCCAAAAAATACAGAAGGAGCGCCTGCAAATACAATGGCCAAGTGCTAAAGAAGGAAAACTCTTTGGACGTGTGCAGGTGGAACAATGCCTCACACCGGGGACATACCGGTACAGGGAGTTCCACAAGGCATTGAGACTTTTTACGCCTGAAGCATTCAAGGACCAGCCCTGCTCCGACGAGTGTTGGTCGGACCACGCGTTCCGACGAGTCTTGGTCGCACCGCGTCGTTCGCAGGAAACCTTCGATGCTATGGCGACAGAGTCGGGTGACAGGGCCAGACGCAAATCAGATCCACAGATTCAATTGCTGGTGGCCCAAGGTGATTAGCATGAGATTAGTCATGAGATTTAGTCATAGAGCCTTTTCGCAAATGCGAGGCGTGAGAGCGCATAGGGATGCGATCTGTGTTGCTCATGTTTACAGATATGGCAAGAGGTGTTTCGCAGAACTGCGCAACACTCCAAGATGTGACGATGAGCAGCCTGTGGTTGGAAACAGGCCAAAGACTTTCGTTGTACAGGAAAGGTTCAGAAGAAGGAGTCACCGTCAAGGTGTTCAAGTTGCGTGCGCAATGATGCAAAACCAGGAGCCAACCAGGAGCCGTACATGTATGTAACCTGATTCCTGCAAATGAGTGCACTCTGAAAGTGATTTGATGATGCGATCGCACAGTCGACTCTCCCTGTGACAAGTTGACTGGAACTCAACTGGAGTTCCGAATCACATGGCATGGCATGAGACATGATACAGTCATGATACAATTCTAGTGCCCACCCGTCCTGTACAATTCTGGTTCTGTTCGTGTTTGCTTTGGAAATATGTAAACTCAGAGAGGTGGGGTTTTCGCATCTCTGAGTCATGGGAAACGCTGCTGCCTGCAGATGCAACTGTGATTGTGAGCGCCAGTGGCTGAGACCTATTCTGAAAAAGAAGAAACTGCTGCAAACTTCCCGATGAAAACAGGCCATCACTACGTAGCTTGGAGGCCATTGCTAGGGTGGCATGGAGCCGATGGGGGTGTTGCTTAGGTCGATGTACTCGCTTCATTGCATCTGTTTGTATGGCCGGGTGCCTTTGCATTGGCACCTTGGGCCAATGGCGGGCAGAACGACCAGAAGTGCCCAAGTGCATGGCCTTCTCGTTTAGAGTGTTTGATGGGCACAACGGACTGTTTTGCAATCAGTGGATGGTTGACTCATGTCGACTCGTTGAAGGCAAGAACGGGGGGCGCTCTTTTGGTTGGAGGCCATCGCTAATAGGTCGGAGGCCATCACTTCTGCTATTAGGTCGGAGGCCATCGCTCCTAGGTTTGAGGCCATTGCTTAGTAGGTTGGAGGCCATTGATATTAGGTTTCCTGGCTAGGCCATCGCTATTAGGATGGAAGCCATGGCTAATGCCAGCGTCGCGTACCTCGCGGAGCTGAGGCGTTTACCTATGCATTCCTTACGCGACTTCGAACCCATATACCGTTGGCACACCACAATGTGACGAGGCCTTGGAAGTTCAGCGGTCAAATGAGAGCGGTGGATTTTTTCCGAGTCCGTCCGTCGACTCCACTCATGGGCCGAACGCTTGGTTCGAACGCAGTTTCAACCACATCGAACGCTGATTGGAACCGCTAGTTTCTTGGGGGTGGGGGTGGGGCAGTGATCTCACCATATCCCCCAAAGTTCAAACACACCTCGTGGACCCCTCGGACCTTGCCGATCCAGCAGCTCAACTGCGTTCAGTTGGTTGAAGGGTTCCGCCGCGGTTCATCCTGGGACCTAGAAGCATCAATGCCCCACTAGCTGAAACGACTCCACTCTGGGGAGGTCAGAACACAGGACATGACAGCATGACAGCACAGTGAGAGAAAATCACGGCTGTTCCCGTTTGATGTGGGGAGCAGTTCATTTTTGCACACAAGTTTGAAGAGGGCACAGATGCTTCTAGGTTGGAGGCCATCGCTATTAGGTTGGAGGCCATCTCTAGTAGTTTGAAGAGGGCACAGATTGTTGAAGAAGAGGTGTGTGGGTGCTATTCCTCCAGGTGTCGTGGGCAGCTGCGTTTCCCGGAATTGTTGCTGGACTTTCTTGCTGTTGGTGCTGCGTTTTTCATGCTGGCAGCAGCTTGGTGGAAGGGGTGTGGGCGAAGCATCTTGAAATTACTTGTGAGGAGTGATGTGTGTGTCAGGACGTAGGCTGGCGGAAACAGCGTGCAAAAGTGTCCGGGCTGGCGGAAAAGGGTTCGGCATCGTAGAAATGGGCCAACAAGAAGAGGCGAGCTCCTAGTAGCGGCCTTGCTCCTAGTAGCGAGCCCAGGAGACCCTAGCCAGGGCAGGTCACAGACGTTTTTTTCACTTGGCCCTTGGCTGAGGAGAGGCACCGGTTCCGACCGCAATAGGGGGGTCTTGCCTCACCTTCACTGGTCTATTCATATGTTCCATTTGCTTGCTGCAGCTTGGCCGCACAATTCTGCAATGCTGGGGCCCAACGTTGGTTTCTGAAAGGAGAATGACATCACACCTGCCGATGCTCAGGATTTTAAGCGGCAATTGTGAGAATCTGGACCAGCAGTTTGTGATCTCCATGTCTTTGCTGGTGGTGGTGCCGATGTCCTGCCTTTGTTGTGTCTTGGTGTGATTGATGGTCGTATTTGGTCGTCTTGGTCATGTGGGAGTTCGACCATGCTTCGTCTCCCAGGCTGTGCATGGTCTTCCGCTTGCACGACTTGCCTCGAGAACTGCTCGAGAGAAAGACCAGAGAGACCAGATCCACCTCCGACGGCTCCCAGACGACGGCACACGCCCCGTGTGCGTCGGGCGCAACGTATGCTGCGCCTGGACAACCAAGACTTGAAACCAAACGCATCACCGGTTGTCATCAAGGATACTCAAAGGGGGTTGTCATCTCAGTTGTTCGACGGTTTGGACATGTTCGAGGAGAGAAGCACTGATCTTGGGAGACGGATCTATTGCTGACTTGCTTTTGGACTTCCGCGAGCGACGCTTTCATGGTTTGTGCTGACCCTAGCGGCTGTTGTGGGGGAAGGTCTGGTTGGCTAGTTTTTTTTTTGCACTTGAGCTAGTAGCAAGATGTAGCAAGGATGCAGAAGTGCTCAGATTCTTGCGGAGATTCCCTGTTTTGGGGAGAAAGATTGAGAAAGAGTGGGCAGACAGGACGGTTGAAAAAGAGTTCCTAGACTCTTCTAGACTCCTAGACGTTTAGGAAAGAACATGAAAGAACTGAACTGAACAGAAAGGTGGCGGATGTACAGATGCATCTTCATGACCTTCATGCACTGCCAGCTGCGCTGCTCTTGCTGTGCAGGCGGGGACTGCGAAATGTAACAGTTGCTGCGGATCCTGCCGGACAGCTTCCTGTGCACCTGTCAGGAGTTCCTGAAGATGAATCGCCGACCTCTCCTGTTTCAGATCGAGGATATACAATCAAGCAAAACTGAGTGAAAGCCCAACGAACTTACAAAGACTTCAAGAAGACACTCACTTTGGTAAAGCTGATGGGAAATGGTTGATCAATGTTCCCTGCATGTTTGTCCCTGAGTGCCACAAACAATTTTCCGTTTGTTAGGACACACGTCACTTTCTCCAACATCACGAACTTCCATAAGCCGAGCCTCACTCTTTTTCAGCATCCTGGCAATCTACTTTGGTGCAAGGTTTTGCGCGTTGACTTGAGCTCGAGCGAAGCGAAGTCGGAGTTGTTCCACGTCGAAACTCACAATTCAAAAGAGCAGCTACCGGCTAGGCAGTTGCAGCTACTAGCGTGCGCTGTTTGAAGAGGTTACTGCGAAGCAGTGGTCGTTGATGCAGGTTACGAGGATGAGGATGCCGGGGAAATGGCCATCCACTATTTGGCTCGTGGAGAGAGGTTTGGAGAAGGCCGTCGTTTCACTCTGCTTGCACCGCCGCAGGAGTTGGGGAGCTCCCGCACCCAAGACCTCATGACCTAGACCTGAACCTATCAGATCCACCTTATCTACCTCATAGCGGCCTCCAACCTGCGGCAAATGGACTACACGTATTTTTCGAGTTTGTCATGAAAAGGGGTGCGGACTTTCAGTTGTTTCAATGACACAACATATTCAGAGTGTCATGTGTTGCCTATTGCATATGTCTGAATCTGTTTTCCTTGGCTTCGTTGGTTTTACATACAGTCTATATATATAAAATCGTGGACTATCCTCGGCCTCAGACCCGTTCAATGTTTGAACCACACACGTGAGTTGGTGGGGCTGCGTGGAATCAACCATTGGCATCCCTCTTATAATATATATATATATATATCAACTCACACATGTGCACGCACCACAAAAACACATCGCTGGCCTTGGAAACCGGGACGTGGTTCATACTAGCGGCTAGCGATGGCCTCCATCCTAGTAGCGATGGCCTCCAACCAAAGGGAGCTCCCAAACCCAAGACCTCAAGACCTACCCTCAATCTATCCCTTTGTTTGTTCCTGGCTGCTCTTGGCAACGGACCATCCCTATAATTGATGTCTCTGTTTGGCAATAATGTCCGATAAGGCTGTTGAAAACGGGCCTGGAAGACAATGTTTTTCTGTACAAACAGATGGCCGTCCACTTCCATGTGAATGACGTAGAGGGTTATCCTGACAAAATCCATGCGCTCGAAACACGTGCTGATTTTTTTGTGCCTCGTTGCTTCTACTTTACGTCATGTTTGATTTGCCGTCGCTGGTCATTTCCCCAGCTAGTGTTGCTCCACCTATGCCTCAAGTTTTGTGAGGCGGAGAGTTTGCAGGTTTTGAAATGTTAAAACCAATCAGTTGACTGCAAAATCAAGAGAGTTCCAGTAGTGGAAATTCATCGCGGTATTTATTCGTAGCAAGTGAAGAAGAGCCCCCCGCTTTGAAGTTGTTTAGGCAACGAGCATTCTTGCGAGGCATTCCGAATTTGGCACACGTTCAAAATGCATTGCAAGATATTGCAAGCACTTACTTCCCGCAGGCACAGGAGGTGCTTCTGCTGCAGCGCAGCGCTGTTTGAGCTGGGGTGGTCAGAGACGAACTCTGCCGGAGAGGGATCTGGGAATTTAACTGCAGGAAGTATTTACCTGAAAAAACTTGCATGGATTCAAAATGAGGTCCTTTCAATTCACCTTTGTTTCGTATTGTTTTTCAGTCCTTGAAACGAACTGGCTCTTTGTGCGGCATAGGAGCTCACTGATGAACGGCGCGCTCGGTTGCTGCGGGAGTTGCTCGGAAGTGGCCGGCTGCCCTTTGGACAGACACTTGGATGCGCTCGTTGCAGCTCCGAAATGAGAAGATCAAAGTGCTCATCGTTTCCCAAAGTCTTCAAG